TACCCCTGCCCCCACATCTCACAGTATGCACCAGTCCACCAACGCCACATACACCAAACTACGCCAGACTGGAGCAAACCCTACTCCTATTAATCAGAAATCTCACCAAAGCATTAAAGAAGGCACACTTTGAGCTTTGGGACAAAAGCTGCTTGCTATATGCCAGGGTGTTCACTTAAGGGGAGTGGCAAAATTAAGATAAATTCCAAAACACAAATGCCTACATATGGTGTAAGGGAATCCAAGAGGTATGAGAACATGCTCCTTGCTCCCTCAGAGAAATTTTGAATTTCTAGGGTCTAGCTAGAACAGCATTTCTCACATTCTGATGGAAAATCATAATCACAAAAAAACATATTTCTATCTAATATTTTACTATTAATAATAATATTTTATGAACGAGCGCAGCGAGTGAGTAAAATATTATTTTTAAAACGAGAAGATAAAAGTCATATCTTCAAGCCACCATGTCCATGTAATGTTCTGTTTATTATACAGTCCCAAGCAAAAAATCGTGAAATTTCACACTCAAAAGCAAATTGGAAAAAGTCACATGATCGACATCTTCACTAGTGAAGATATGGAAAATATCTCGCTGTGTATTTTTCATTTTTCAGTATCTCACTCTCCACTATATAATGTATAATGTTTACTGTATATATATATATATATATATATATATATATATATATATATATATATATATATATATATATATATATATATATATATATATATATATATATGACAAGAACGCCATTCAACCTAATACGCATGATCTCTGCATGTCACAGATTCTGCATGTGACATGCAGAGATCATGCGTTTTAGGTTGAATGGCGTTCTTGTTGTATATATAATTTATGTGTCCCACATCCATCATCTCATTATTGTTGGTTGTATAAATACTTTTCGGATGAAAAGCTCACTATCAGCTACACTGCGCTGACGATCCCCAAAAGGGCGAAACAGCTGTCCGCAGTTGCTGGTAGTGAGCTTGGGGCACAATTGCCTATAGGCCTTTGCGCTGATTTAAATCTGTGACATGCAGAGATCATGCGTATTAGGTTGAATGGCGTTCTTGTCGTATATATATAT